CTGATATCATTTCTCTTCAGTACTCTGGAGAGGTCCCTGATAGCAGACTTTCCCAGTGCGATTTGTCTTTTGATTTCCTAGCTGCTGGTACCCAGAGTGTTAATTGTGGAGCCAAGCAAAGGGAAGCTGTTAACAACCTCAATATCTTCATTGTCTATTGTAATGCTGCCAGTTGGGCCAGTAGGGAGAATCTTTGTTTCCTTAATGTTGAACTTCAATTCATATTTAAGGCTGTAATCCTTGACCTTCTGCAGCAAATGACTCAGGCCCACAGTTTTGGCAAGCAAGGTTGTGTCATCTGCATAATGCAGGTTGTTGCTGAGTCTTCCTTCAATCCTGATGCCATATTCCTCCTTAAAAAGCCCAGTCTCCCAGATGACCTGTTCCACATATAGACTGAAAATGATATGAAGATAAGATGATCCCTGACATACATCTTGTCTTATTTTGAACCATACAGTGCTTCCTTGCTCTATTCTGACTAGTTCCTCCTATTACAAGTATAGGTTTCACATAAGCACAGTCAAGTTTTCTGGAATTCTCATTCTTCTCAGAAGAAGAGTTTTACAGTTTGTTGTAATTCACACAGTCAAATCCCTTTGCAAAGTCAATGAAACACAGACATTCTGCTGGCACTCTGCTTTCAGTCAAGATCCTTCTAACATGGACAGTGACTAGGGGTGACAGAAGGAGAATTGATGCCTTTGAGCTGTGGTGCTAAAGAAGCTTATTAAATATACTATGGACTGCCAGGAGAATAAATAAGTGTGTCCTGGGAAGGGTGAAACCAGCCTACTCTTTGGAGATTAGGATTCTGAAGCTCTGTCTGTCATACTGTGGGCATGTTGCAAGGCAGGACCAGTCTTTGGAGAGGGACATCATGCTTGGGAATGTAGAGGAATAGCGCAAGAGAGGGAGACCTTGATAAAGGTCAGAGACAATAAAATTGTCTCAGGATAGAGCAGCATTCAAAGCTGTTGTGCATAGGGTTACTGAGTCAGAGTCAAATTGACAGACATAACAAAAACAATAATATTTGCATCTATTATGTATTTCTTTAAAATGGCCTTATGCAAGTAGAAAGTCAATCCTATATACTAAATATCCCTTGGAATATCCCTTTGGACTGCCAAAACAACACATATATCTTAGAAAAAGAGCAGCCAGAGTGTTCCTTGGAGACGAAGTGGTGAAGCTTCATTTCTTTTACTTTGAACATGTTGCTAGAAAAGCCTATTTCTTGGAAAGGGATATCATGCTTGGAAAGGTGGAGGGTCAATGAAAGAGAAGAAGATACCCAATGAATTAGATTGACATGGTGACTGTATTAATGGGCTCAAATGTATCAAAGATGATGAAGATGGCACTGGATAGGATAGAGCTCAGTTCTGTTGTTCATAAGGTCACTAAGTCGTGCTCACCTCAATGGCACCTAACAAAAACACATATCAAATATGTGCATTTGCTTTTTATTTTACATGCACATTTAGTTTATTCTTTGTATACTTTCTAACAGGGAATTGCATATATGTCTCATCATTTCTGTTCCTTTTGCATATTTTAGAATATAGTTGAAGTCCTATCAGGGCCTCATACTATATCTTCCAGTTCACTTATGGGTGGTGGACCTGAATTTATAAAATACAGGTGCCTGATATGATAACCAGAATGGGAAAAGGTACAGGTTGATTCCATGTTAGAAACGTAATCCCTTAGAAAACAAGGGCTAGAGTGCATGCTGCAATACCCTCACCAAAGTCAGTGTCTGACCATGTTACACTCTCCACAGCCTGGCAGTAATCCAGTTTTTTGCATCAGGCTCCTGAAAGGGTTCAACGTGCTTCTTCTAAGTATCCCATTCCAGAGCTTTGGATTGTGATTTTTGTTTAAAATTTTTTATTCTGGTTACCATTCCACTTTACTTAAATTTAGAAATTCAGATCTATTCCAGTTTCACTTTACCAGCCATAACTGTACTTGTCCAAATTGGTCTGAAGCCTTAGATCCTATCAATGACCAATATTTCATCTGTGCACTCACTATAATATTACAATCATGTTTTTATTGCTAGGCTAACTTTATCCTATTGTAGTACCACTTTTTGCTATTGTTGCCAGTTTTCAAAGAATGCAAATTAATTTTAATATTAGCCTAAACAAAATACAATTAGCAAAATAAGTATGTTGCCAAAAATGCAAATATATTCCATAACTGAAAAGGTTTGTTCCATGCCGGTTTGAATGAACAGTAGTAATAGTTTCCTTTTTTTAGCACTGTATAGAAGATAATCCTGGTGATTACTTTTAGAGTTAGTTAAGTTGTATACCCAGATAGATTGAGGGTGAAGAAATAAAAAAAGTCTACAATTACCAGAAAGTGACCTTGAGGTTATCACAATTTAATTTTAAAACCATTTTGAGAACAGATTTGATGCTTTGAATGCTAGTGACAAACCAGATGAGTTGTGGAATGGCATCTAGGACATCATCCAAGAAGAAAGCAAAAGGTCATTTCTGAACACTGTACATCAATGTTCATAACAGCATTATTCACCATTGCAAGGTCATGGAAACAGTCCAAATGTCCAATTACAACTGAATGGATTGAGAAATTGTATAGTCATACAATGGAATACTCTGCCGAACTCAGGAGCAATGATTTCGAAAAATACTGCATAACTTGGGAGAGGCTGGAGAGCATTATGCGACGTGAACTAACTCAGTCTCATAAGGACAAATATTGCATAAGACCATTATTGTAAAAGTAGAAGGATAACTATTAAACATGTATGGGGATCCAAGGGGGGAAGGGGTGGAAACAGAGGGGTGAGGGTGGGTAGGGCAAAATCACAGGGCTGCACAATTTGGTGGTGGAGGGAGGGGCAGAAGGAAATGGGAAGGATCCAGTGGGGACCTGAAAAGATTGGGTAATGAGGGACAATGTCCAATGATGACTGATTTTATAAAACATGATGCATGGGAATCATTGTATGAAGCACAGTGTGAATGAGAAATAGTGTGAAAAAAATGTTTACGAATTTTGTGAGCAAACCAATATAAGATCAAATCATCATTATCATAAATACAAGAGAAAGATAAAACCAAAATGGATGTCAGAAGAGACTCTGAAACTTATACTGGAAGAAAAAGAAGTCAAAACTAGGAAATTTCAAAGGGCAACTCTGGAAGACAAAGTATTGCAAAGAAATGTGCAAAGCACTGGAGTTAGAAAGGCAAAAGGGAAGAACATACATATTTCTCAAGCTAAAAGAGCTGAAGAATAAATTCAACTTGAACTGCAATACTGACAGATTCTATGGTAAAATCGTGAATGCTGCAGAAAGCATCAAAAGAAGACGTAAAGAATGCATGGAGTCAGTGTACCAAAAAGAATTGGTTGACACAGAACCATTTTAGGAAGTAGCACATGATCAGAACCAATAGTACTTAATGAAAGTTCAAGATGCACTGAAGACATAGCAAAAACTTAGGCTCCCAAATCCACCAGATGCTCTGCTGGAGAAGGAGGTTGAATCTCCTCCAGTACCAGTCAGATTTCATTTGACGGTACACACACAAAGATAATACAACAAATAAAAAAATTTAAAAAACAAACAAACAAAACACCTTAGGCCCAAGAGTTGATATGTTCATATGTTTCAAAAGATGTTGACCTGGACTTGTTCATGGGTCTATCCCAAAAACTTTGAAAGGCTTGGTCAACTGACAGGAGGAGATCCAAATATGTACCTATGCCAATAATAAACAAAATGACCCAACAGAATGCGGAAATTATCAAACAGTATCAAATATCGTGTGCAAATGAAATCCTACAAATATTTTAAAAAAGGCTGAAATATTTGCAGTATCTTGAAAGGGAAGCACTAAAAAATCAAACTGTACTTAAAAAAGACTATGATGGTTAAAGGGATACCACTACTAGATGGATTTTGACTGAATGCAGAGAGTACCAGAGATATATTTACTTGTATTTTATTTGTTATTCAGAAACATTGAATTGTATATATGATGACAAATTGTGGCTAACATTGAAAAGAATTGGAATTCCTGACCATTTCATTTATTTATTAGAAACCAATGCATAAATCAAAAAACAGTTATCTGAACAAAACAAGGAGACACTGCGTGGTTTAAAATCAGGAAAGGTTTGCATCAGAGTTCTACCTTTTCTCTGTACTTAGTCTGTGTGCTGAGCAAATCATTCAAGAAGCTGGACTATGTGAAGAAGAATGTGGTATCCATATTGGAGGAAGATTAATCAACAACCTGCCTTATGCAGATAATATAACCTTGATTATAGAAGGTAGAAGAATTTCATGCATTTACTGAAAAGAAGATCAAAGCCTTTGGTATGGATTCTATTTCAACATCAAGGAAATAAAACTCTTCACCAGTAGACCAATAGGCAACAAGCATCATGATAGTTGGAGAAAAGATTGAAATCAGTGATTCCATTTTGCTTAGTTGCACAGTTAGCAGGAATAGTAATTGTTGTTGTTGTTGTTATGTGCCGTCCAGTCGTTTGCGACTCATAGCGACCCTATGTACAACAGCCCTAGACCCTGCTCTATCCTGTGCCAATCTCATTGCCTCCGACACACCCATCCCGATTACCCCAGTCACTGAATCAATTCACCTCATAGAGGGTCTTCCCGTCCTGCACTGTCCCTCCA